CGGACATTCCTGATGTCCCAAGACTAGGGAGGCTACCTCTTATGGCCAAACAACTGGCTAAAAAAAGCACAAATCCTTCAGTACTGATCCTGAGATCGCTGAACTGTCACTTGAACGCAAGCAGCTGATGATTGCGAATATGCAGAACAAATTCCCGACCAACAGGAAGCATGTCAAGACCAACATCAACCAGCTGAGACGTAAGATTACAAAGAGACTCAGAGATATCAACAACCGCAGTGCTGACACACTCGTCGAAGAGGTAAACAACACAGACGACGCCCGGAGATACTTTGGAGCCTCTAAGATACTCGCCAAAGGATATGTTAGACCAGCTCTAACCGTCCACAACCCTGCTGGGAATATCGCAGGTACTAATGAGGAGAAAGCGAGGATTATTAAGGAGTACTTTGAAGCTGAGTTCAACGACGCTGATGAGCCTACCCTTCCTGCCTTCCTTGACCCCCCATCTAGCCTTAACAGTCCCATCACCGTTGCAGAGATAGAGAGAGCCATCAGTAAACTCAAGTCTGGTAAAGCAGTGGGTATTGATAAAGTTCCTGGCGAGGTCATGAAAGCCCTGAACAACCCCCTCCTTCATGAAGAGCTGGCTAATGTGTTCAACGAGTCTTTCGAGAAAAACATTCACATTGAAGCAATAGGAGCAGGCATCCTCACACCACTGGCTAAGCCTGGTAAAACTCGTGGCCCAGTTAAGGGGGCAGGGGGGGGGTCCTCATGGAAATTTTCTCAAAATCGATTTTTTAGTTGTTTCTAATAGAGGGGAGTGATGTCTATCAGATGCTTTTAATCCCATAGAAAAATATTGTTCCTAGCCGAAATTATTGCCGGTCAAAGGTCAGCGCTTGTGTGTAATTGTATTGCGCAAGGGATTTTTGATCGCGCGTCCTGAAAATCGACTCTAAAAATCTATCTTCTCCTACATTTTTTGAGCAATCACTCTGAAACTTTCAGGATATGTTCTAGGGACCATTTAGAAGAGATAAGCCGGATGGAATTTTGAGATAGGCCTTTAAAATTTTTTTATTCGATTTTGAAAATCTTGGACCTCGAAAAATCACCCCCCCCCCCCCCCCCCCCCCCCCCCCCCCCTTAAGTCGATACGACCATTGCAATTGACCCTGCTGAATGTTTCTAGAAAGATCCTGTCACTGATAGTGCTAAACAGAATAGAGAGAGCTGTGGACAACTTCACCGGACCGTTCCAAGCTGCCTACAAAGCTGGCAGGAGCTGTGCCGACCTAGTTTGGGCACAGAGCATGCTCATATCTGTAGTAATGAAGAAGGAGTTTGAATGGAACAAAGTGAGTATCGACATGTCAGCTGCCTTCAATACCATCCGCAGAGGTACAACAATCAGACTACTAGAAGCTGCAGGATGCTCCAGAGACGACCTGAGGCTTGTACAATACCTCATGGCTAACACCACTCTAGTAGTCAGAGTGTGTTCTACTGACTCAGAGATGTTCTCTTTCAACATAGGAGCCTCCCAAGGAGACAGCACAGCTGGTAAATTGTTTACCCTCAATCTAGCTGGAGCTGTAGTGCACATAAGAGCAGTCCTCCCCTCAAGACCCAACCCTCCGATAGCCGATAACCACATGCCTCTTGAGTCCGGCTATTCAGACGATTTAGAGGAGATTGGTGAAGATATGGAGGAGTTACAGGATATCTTTCAGATCTCCAAGAATATTCTCAGTGAATGGAGTCTCTTTGTCAATGACACAAAGAAAAAGTTTACCAGAGTGTATTTAGAAGAAGTTGGTGCCTGTGACGAGTGGGATAATGAACTAAGAGGAAAAGAGGAGTGGAGAAACGAGACGCTTCTTGGTACTAAGCTTGGATCAGAGCAGGATGTTACTAATAGAATAAATAAAGCTAACTCTGCCTTCTGGTCATTTGACAAGCTGTGGTGCCAGGGATCAGAGAGGAGTCAGATAACTGAGAAGAGAAAGATCAAACTCTACGACTCACTAGTAGTATCAGTGCTCCTGTACAACTGCTGCTGCTGGGCCGTACCTCAGCATGTTCTAGAGTCTGTAGATGTTCTTCAGAGGAAGCACCTCAAGCGCATCCTACACATATATTGGCCTAGCTCAATATCTAACAAGGCCCTCTACGCTCGTACCCAGACCAGGCCCCTTTCCGAGAGAGTGGAAAAGGCACGGTGGACAATGCTAGGTCATGTTCTACGCAGTGACAACGACACACCTGCCTACCAGTCTCTGTTATTTGCTACACTAGGATGTCAAACACTAAAGGGACGAGTGGGTAGACACAGGACTAATTTGTATGATATTATTGTGAAAAAGGACCTATTTAAGAGACAAATTTATTTTTAAAATGAAGATGATTTTACCAACTTAGTGAACTTAGCAAGAGATAGAGTAGGATGGAGGATGGAGGAGTTTATTTACTTTGAGACATATTGAACGAATGAGTCTTCGTAAGCGTAAATAGGCCAGCACTTTGCTGAGCCTCTTTAGGTGCTCTTTTGTTTATAGATGTTATTATATTATATAACTGGCTAAATGGCTCTTTAGATTATGAGAGCATCTATGTTTTGAAACAGAACTTCGATCTGGTTGCTTCACTTTCACACACCCCAATAGGTTCTTTACCTGCTTTAAGACTTCAGGGACTTCATTTTCAATATCTTCCGCGCTATCAATTACATTTAGATATTTCTTTGAATCCTGATTATTTTTTATTTCATTCAACGATCTATGCACAAGTTCCTCATCGTCACAACTTTTCAAATTGCTTGGACCTAGTGATCTAGTTAACTCTAGCATTACCGCAATGTGGGAAATAAAGGCAAAAGAATGCTTCCCTGTCACATTTGCATGGACATAATTAGTAGACAGCTTTCCTTGTATTTTTGGAATAGATTGAATAGTTTCCGATGACAAGATTGGTTTCACTCTAGCTATTGGGCATGGCTGATGCACAGTATTCTGCATGCCACATCATCTGTACTCTTTGTTCCATTCTGACATTCCGGGGTAGGTAAAATACTCATCATCCGACGACGTGTTTTCTTAGATTTTAGTCTTAATACCCGCTCCATGGATCGCACAATTGATAACGTTAGGACACCTGGATTTTTTTCCTCCGAAAATATTGTATATATTCTGTAGGCAAGCTTCCTCTAAAGAACACCCAAGTCTGAATAAAACCCGTTGAATTGCTTTGGCCTTGATAATCTGGCCAGGTACCATGTCGTTACACTTCCACAATTCAATTTCAAAATTCGTCCTGACCGTGCATCTATCTTTAATCGTTTCGGCATCGAGCGCCTTTCTTCCGGATTTCTCCTTACAAAGTTTGTTTTTCGGCGTGGTAGTGCCATCTTCTGTGGCGAATCTTGTAGAAAGTTTGTTTAAAACAGTCTCTTTCTTCGCAATCACAGGCTTATCACCTTTTCCATCGTGTACTGGCAGTCTAATTGTACTCAGAGAACGTGTTGGAGGAGTATTTCTAGAGTTCAATTTGTCCCGATTTCCCTGCTGATTCTCATTCTTGATTGCAGTTCCACCTTCAATGAGTCGTGTAGACAACTTGTTAAGTGCTGTTTCCTTCTTTGAATTTAACACTTTCTTGCTGCTGTTTATCTTATCAACATCAATTGGTCGTCCAATTGTGAATTTAGAATTGTCTACTGTGGGAGTTCTCGTGGTTAAATTATCAGTGTTAGCCCGCAAATGCTCCTTCTTCTTCAGACCCGTCGATGAAGATTTATCCATAATCGTCAATTTGCTTTGCACCGTCGGTTTCTTAATCTTTGGAATCCTAAAAGTAGGGACAGCTCTCCTCTTGAATGAGTTGCTTGTTATTATCGCAGTAGTGATAACATCAGCAGATGATTCGTCTTCAGAATCATATTGAGTTCTAGGTTTTGATGAATCAGCAGCCCTTTTTGAAGTGTTGACAACAACTGATACGTCCTCAGTAGATGGTTCGGGTACAGGGATTACAGCTGGAGGAAGCTCCGGAGTATCAATACCTGATGATGTGTCCTCAGTAGATGGTTCGGGTACAGGGATTACAGCTACAGGAAACCCTTCAAGCGAATGAGCGACTCTCCTGATGCCTTCGCTAAATTGCAACGTAAACATCTGTCGTATGTGAGACTTTCCATAACCCTTCCGCACTTACACCGCCAAGCCATATTCTTTTTTCGTATTATATGAATGATTATATTAGTAAATTATACAATTATGTGTATATATAGATACAATGTTTTTTTTTGTAGAGTTATCAAATCAGTTACAACTACAGAAAACAATTGCAAGAGCGAGGTACTACTAGTACTAAAGGTCAACACTCATAATTGAGTTTAATTTGGGTAATTATGTTAAAATTTGAACCGATTAGTCAGCCAAAATCTGATTTTTAATTTTTGTTAAAAAAGTTAAAAAAGTTAAAGTAATTAATGTTAAATTCCAAAATCTCGATCTTAGAATTTAACTTTTTTAACGTGGACCCCCCCCTACAATAGCTTAAATTAGCAAACTTAATACATTCTAATACATAACAGAGGAGCTTAAAATTTAAATGGATCAATAAATGCAAGATTTTTGCTAGAGTAAAACAGGATTATTCTTGCCATAATAGGATTCTAGTCAATGGTCAATGAAGTTTCAACAGAAAAGTCCTTGAAAAGTGAATACTTCGTCGCGTGTAATTTTTGATCAGTGGCACATTCTTCGATAAGATGAAATACGAACTTGGGGGGAGAATTCGTTACAACATGACGTGTAAAATCGTACAGTTTGGGGTTGTAGTCTCAACTGTATTTCAGTTTCTTGATATCATATAGATTTCAACTTTCAACAGTTTGTTATTATGAATTATCAGAATCACTATCCGAGCGTTTTTGAACAATTTATAGAGATAAGAGTTATCTAGCCTCACCACGCGTTGTATTGTATTTCTTATATTTAGAAATTAGAAATTACTAGGAATAACAACAAGGGTTAATAATGGTAAAAAATAAAATCGAAAGAGATAAAAGTTTCACATGCTTTTTATCACGTTGTAAGAACTGTAAAAAAGTTAAAATTAACCACAGAAATAAACATCAACGATTAAATCAAACTCAAGATTCGATGCAAAATATCAGCCTCCAATTTCGAATCGAAACCAAATATAATAATCATTTCAAATTTAAGTTATCCTCGGCTTGGAATTGTTTATTTTGATTAAGTTTTCGCATTACCGTGCAAAATAAAAAACTCTCAAAATGACCGCAGTGGGAACCTGCGATGGTTGGAAAGAGCAGATAACACAGCGCCACCTATTATCGTTATCTCAGAGAATTGAACCATGCACATATTCGATATCTTTCATCAAAAATATATCATTTCTTCGTCAGCGTATTGACATATCCACATAACTGTTACGTCATGGTCACAAATGTTCGGTTCATATAAGCGGAGCTTGAATTTCTCAACTTCCTATTAGTCTAGAACTCTCTTTCTCGAATATCTCAATATAAATTTCATCTTGATATAGGATCTATTTACAGAGTTATATTAACAGCATATTTCCGTTCTCTGTTATGAACAACATCCGGCTCATATGACATCGTCTCACGTGACACCGGTTCAGATGAAACAACATTTTTCCAGCAGTGGAGTGGTCCCGTGTGGGAGCTCACAGTCACGTCACGAGTTAGAGCCAATCTTATATCCATCTGAAAGATGTGAGGATTAGAATTATCTGGTATCATGACGGAAGTGTTAGCTGACTGATTATATTTTGGTGCGTGTTGGGGTTCTCCACAAACCCACGTACCATATGTACAGAGATCCGTTCAAAACGAAACCTCACGACCGTGGCCTCCCAGTCTACGAAAATGTTTCCCAAGTCTGACTAAAATTGAGGGTCGTCTGTCAAAAACCAAAAAATCCTAATTGAACTGTGAAAAAATGACGTCCAATATTTGGGTGCAGTCCAAAACACGGCACAAATATGTGAAACTTGGCATAAATATGTGAAACTTGGCATAAATATGTGAAACTTGGCATAAATATGTGAAACTTGGCATAAATATGCGAAACTTGGCATAAATATGTGAAACTTGGCATAAATATGTGAAACTTGGCATAAATATCAAATGTGTGAAACTTGGCATAAATATGTAAGACTTGGCATAAATATGTGAAACTTGGCATAAATATTAAATATGTCAAACTTACTGTTATTGTGTCCGGCAGAAGTGGGGCACTCGAAGTTGAATGTGTAATGAACATCGAGGAAGGTGCCCTGCGACACGTGACAGCAGTCTGTACATGCTACTCGCGACGGAAGGAGTCGCACTTTGGCTGTTATCTTGCTGATTCCTGATACTAGGAGATAGCTATACTGCTGCTCCGATCCTTTCTTCTGCGAGGTGAATGTGAGGTTAGCGTACAATTATTAATAATAATAATATTCTTACTTAAGTTATCAATTAGGAAACGAGGACTTATAGACGAGATGATATACGAAATCTGTTATATTATTCAGGTTTTCAGATACAGTGACTGTTAATGACCAGCAGTGACTATGACTGCAGAATATTGTAAGATCAATTCAAGTGAGTCTTTGTGCCTCCTCTGTGATTGGAAATATAATAACGATAGAAAGGCTGCTAAGAGGACTACTGAAGATGATAGTGGCGATGTAAGATGAACACATCTCAACTAACCTGTTTATCAGCAGTATGACTGTTGGCAGATTTCACCAGAGCTAAAGTACTGTTGAGGTTGTTGTTTGTGAGGAGGAAGGCGTTGTTAGAACCACAGGGACTGGTCTTGTATTGACATTGTTGGGACAGTATTGCATCACTTCCGGGCCTGGTGAAGAGGGTCGGGGTTAGCGAACGTTCTTATAGTTACGGGTAGTTTTGAAGTTATATATCAACTGTTAGGGCTGATTTATTGTACTTTTACCTATGAGTTATGATGAAACTTAATGTATACGTACAACTTTCACTTTCAGATATAAATAGAAACTGAAAAAAGGGACAACTTACTTGATATCCACAGAGAAGTGGTTTTCGTTAGTTTTCAGGTAGAATTCCTCCGGGGACATACTAATGGAGTATTTACAGTCCAACCTCTTTTGACTCCTAGAGTACTGAACTTTGACATTGGCAGAAGACAGACCAGGGAATGATGTGATGTCACAGCCCATGGTTGCAAAGTAGTCTATAGGAGGACCCGGTGTGGTAGTGTTGGGTCCGTACGTTTTCCGGGGCGTCACCGTCGCGCCACGTTGTGGTTTTGTTGACTGAGGGAGGGCATACGTTAAATAGAGTGTCTTTGGTTTATAAACTGGATGAACATTTTGATTCAGTGAAAAATAAGATAAAGTGTTTGCCATGGCACAAAATTATTTGTAATTAGTATTATTGAAGCACTAGAGAAGGTTTACACTACTCTAACTCACCACGTTTCTTCTCGTTGACTCAGTAGGCATCTGTAGTTCGTCGTGATGAGACGAGACGATGCTGGCGTTGTTATGCATGACGACAAAGAGGCAGACGATGGCAGCCAAACATAGGATTACCACGCCAGAAAGGGCACAAACTGCTTTCTGCATCATCTTCAGAGATCGTCTCACGCTGTAGGTTGACTGGATGGAGTCTAGGGAAGAAGAGTGGTGAGTATAGTGGTGAGTATTGTGGTGAGTAAAGTGGTGAGTATAGTGGTGAGTATAGTGGTGAGTATAGTGGTGAGTAAAGTGGTGAGTATAGTGGTGAGTATAGTGGTGAGTATAGTGGTGAGTATAGTGGTGAGTAGAGTGGTGAGTATAGTGGTGAGTATAGTGGTGAGTATAGTGGTGAGTATAGTGGTGAGTATAGTGGTGAGTATAGTGGTGAGTAGAGTGGTGAGTATAGTGGTGAGTATAGTGGTGAGTAAAGTGGTGAGTATAGTGGTGAGTAGAGTGGTAAGTATAGTGGTGAGTATAGTGGTGAGTATAGTGGTGAGTAGAGTGGTGAGTATAGGGAAGGAAGAGTGGTGCGTAAAGTGGTGAGTATAATAGTGGTGAGTATAGAACAAAACCGGTGGAGAGATGAATTAAGGAATAGGTTGAAAGTTAACTAATATTTGGCAATAATATTAGTTGACTCGCAAATGCAATAATATTTTGTGGCATATACTGATATGACACATTGTGTTAAAAGAAGTGATATTGAATAATGCGAATTGCAGCCTTATTTAATCTATAAATATCGAAATTATGCACATTCTTAATGCCCACTCCTCGTGTGCAATCTGTGACCCGAAGTTATGATGCAGCACGAATATATAGTGTCATCTTTCCAGGCCTCAAAGGTTGCCGGAGTCGACAAGCACATTCCAACAACGCACCTCAAGTTTAAAATGTAGGCAGAACTATCACAACCCAAAACACTCAAACTCCGGTCAAATAAAGGCAAATACAACAACGTACGGACTCCAGCAGCTTCAACAGACTTGACAATATGCAAAAGCCCGCACCACCTAAAACCTATCGATTTACAGGTTGAGGGAGGGAGTTTCTGCGTGCCCGTTTGGTGATAACCCGAGCTACTCAGCTCCAAGCACACCGAGACTGTCTGCAGATCGGATCACGTGCCACACACTGATTGTCTACAGAGCGCACGTGACTTGCCCGGACACCCATATAAGTGAGAGCTAGTCAGTACCACCAGGGCAGGATAATACAGATATTGGATTTACCCTGGGTGCTCCAGGAATTTGGAGGTAATTGTACGGTCTGCCAGCTCCCTCTACATCTCGACATGCGCCCACCCCGGCCCTTATACCTGTGAAAATCTATAAATGTTTGGCGTATGACGTGCTATGTTGCGGTTCCATTACACCTAATCGCTGGGGGTTGCTGCTGAACGTGTTCCACAACCATGAAGTGGGGTAATGTCTGCGAAATGAGCCATTGCCCATTTGTCACCATGAGGAATCCGGGTATCATCCGCAGGAATGAGGAATCTTAGTATCCGGCCAGGTTTTATAAAATTAGTTGGATCGGAGCCAAGCTATCCTGCTTCTAACCATTGATCATGGGCTCATCAGCACAAGCCTTGATTTCATCAACCTCTACTCAGCAGTCAGCTAGACTACAATCACATACGAGACTTTCGTGTCAACCGGGGGTTTTGCTATCAAGTCGGGGGGGGGGGGGGGCACATCGCAATAATTCAATATTCTACAAAGGGCCATTATTAGCATTTCACCAATATAGTGTTGTAGCAATTTCTATGCCGAGTCTTTTCAACCCAAACTTCTATCAAACATAAATGAAACCTATGATAATTTATCAAAACGAGAGCACTGCAGACGAATGGCCAAACTCTATGTTATATGAAATAACAGGATTAAGGAACTTGCAGCAATACAGATTCATGTTCACTGCAAACAAATAAAACCAATACATAAATTATTATCAACGAACTAAAACTAACCATTGGATGAGAAGAGGCCCCGTTTCTGTTTGCTGTACTTGGTGAAGTTAGAATTGAGGGTGCTCTTACTGCCAAACCTTCTCTTGAATCTGTCCACCAGGTTAGTGTTCACCTGTCGGGGGAGGCTGTCAGGATGAGATACATCTCTTAATTTAACTGCTGCAGCTTGCATTGCAACATAGTGATATTTTCGTCCGAGCAGTAACTGTGCAGAGTACAGAATTTAAAGTTTGTCACGCAAATCTAATATTATGGTACAGCGAAACAGTTTGTTTCATGACGTACCTGTTCGAGCTCGTCAATCTTGTCTATGATGTTATCAGTAATTCCGCTCAGCTCCTTCACAGCCCCGACCCCTGCCATGTAGATTCTCTCCTTGTTCACCGTCAAGACATTCTCGATCTTTCCACTCTCGAGGGTTGCAGCTCCGTTGTTGCGGACAGCATCAGGAAGGATGTTTTGCACCTGCAAGGATTTTAACCATTTAAATCCAGGTACAGATGGTTTTGAAGTTTTATTAAACTACCGTAAAAAACATCGTTTTTTCTAACTTTTTATCAGAATAAAAATGTCATCATCAATCTTTAGTTACTGTCCTCACCTCCTGTGCCAGTACACCAAACTGTTCCGGCTGGTCGATATTACTGTAATCACAGAACTCATCAGTGTACGAATAGTTGTAGAGGTTCAGCTGCTTAACTTTCTGTAGCTCTTCCTTGCAGTCTGCGATGGTGATATTTTCCTTGACCCTCTGGTCGGAGTAGTGGTTTAGTGTACCTGACACCAGCACGTTTCCGCCGACAGCCAGTGTCGCGTGGTCCGGCCGCTCTATGTTGATACCCACGTTACCCTGACAAAACGTGAGAGGTTAATATTTCGCGCCAGGGGTTTTGAAGGAGTTGTGGAGTGGTGATAAGTGCGAAAAGTTAAAGTGTAACAGGTTGGCTGTTGGACCGAATTACAGGTTTAAGAGTAACAGGTAAGTTGTTGAACAGATATATAAGAGTAACAGGCTTTTTGTTGAACCGATATTCGAGTGTCAAGTTTGTTGTAGCACGAATTGAATTAGGTGTCAACCAACGTTGTTGATCGGGAATTAATATGTTATAAAATAATAAAATAATTATTGGAGAATGACATATTAAACAGGTAAGGAGCTTGTACGGCGTAAAATATTAATTATCATTCTTATGAGTTAAACCCAGGAGCCAACCTACGAAGGAATAACGAGACGGATTTACGATAAACATGTCTACTACTGACCATGTATCGGATGGAACTGTTGTCTACTCTCTCCCAGAGCTGCTGTTCCAGGTCGAAGTTGGAAGGAGAGCTAGCTCTGACGATGATCCTCTCGCTGATACACGCGGCCAGGCAGTGCTTCTGTCCGTTAGTAGTCTCCGCTTCTAATGAAACCACCAGGGAGAAGAACCTGACAAAATACAAGTTAGTCTTCTCCACAGTACCAAGTGACACCACGTAAGAGCATCGCCAAGTGACACCACTTGAGAGGGCTGCTAGTAGAGCAGGTCACAGTAGATCTCACTTGAGGTTTATCGTGCTGGGCGTTGCAAACTACTTTTCAAACTTCATTACTATGACCGCTGAGATCAGTCGAGATAAAAAGATGGAGCTGTCTCGGACTAAAATATCCGTAACACCCAACAAAAACATGAGTAAATTTACAAACCTCTGGTTGGGATTGGGTTTTCCTTTCTTTCTCATGTTGTTTTCTGTGGTAGCACTGAAGTGAAGACGGGGAATCGTCTTGGTCAGACTACCGTTATGGAAATCAACCCTGGTGAAGAAGAGATTTAGATTTACGTTGTAGAAAACAGAGTATTAGTCGCAGAATTCAAACCATCAATTAGTTTGAGTCCGGTTACATTCAATTTGTTTTGTGAGAAACTTGTATTGCTGATAATTTGCAAAAAAAGTAGGCTAATATAGTAACCAGCTATAAAATAAGTTTGTTTTTACTAGAATTTCTTAGGAGGTAGCTAGGACCTAGGTAGAACTAGAAGTGTTTAAAACAAAAAAAACGAACAGTGTAGTTAAAGATATCGACACCTTACTTTCCAAAAATAATAACTTATGGAATTGATAAGCCAGTTTCATTAGACACATGAACCAGTTTATCATTGTCAGATTACTGTGGCTATTATAGATCAGATGGTTTGAAATAAATATAATATTTCGAATTTAACTAACCTCTGGGGATCAAGGCAGTACTTCTGTCGTTCAACCGTACTCTGGTTGATGGGAATAATCTGATTCTTGCTCTCGTTCTTGAACCCAAACAGAGTGACATAGAAAGCTCTGATCTCAGATACGGTGTTCTGTAATGAGTTTATTGTTAGAATTTGTTAGAATTATCCCAATTTTCTTGAATATTGAACATGAACAATCATAATGAAACGTCTTAAGGAAAAATTCCGAAATTAATTGGGAATTTCTATAGTAAACACTTACGTCAGTTTTGATGAACTTGGGACTACTGAAGCCGTAAGCAGTGACGGTAACTTGGAAGTGGTTCTTCTTTTGACTAACGAACGCTGAATGGGCCTCGGAGTGAACAAACCCCTTATCAGCACTGACTGTGTACTTAAATCCAGATCTGCGGGAATTAATTATTTCAAAGGGATGCTCAAACTGCTCAAACAATCGAAATCGAATGAAGCGGAGCAGCGCACATGTTTGAATATCAAATTAATTTAATTAACAACGCGCGCATTGAAGCCGCGCAATTGTTAATGTAAATATATTTGAAGGTCCTTTTAGTACAAATTCTACAATTAGAACCGCGCGTTACAGACAATAACAAGACTTTAGCAAATCGTGTAGAGGGTGAAGGGATGCTCCGGTTGTAGTTTGTACTTACATAGGCCTGCAGTTAGCGTCCAGCATAAGTGCCCATTTGTCTTTGTTGTAATCAGTCCATGGAAGCGATCTGTAGTTCTCAGACGTCTCCTGATCAACATCACTGTATTCTGAAAATATGTTGATGTTAGGTGAGATTACAGCAGACAGCTAGAGCAATTCTAAATCATTTTCAACTTTCTTTAAGAGTATAAGCTTTTTGGGAGTAATAAGGATGCAAAATCTTAGAGGGAATATTCCGGGCTTTAGACTTTTAGAACAAAGTTCAGCAAGAGAGCAATACAGTAAATAAAAGCACAATCAAGGAATAAGGCTTTGTTTTTTGTTGTTGTTTAAAATAAGAGAATGCAAATTATAGTAGAACCCTTGACCCCTTGGACAATCTACTGAGTTTTCGACGCAGTTTTTAGAAAGAAAAAAGACACATTACCATGCTCAGGCTGACCTTTGCCACCAGGCTCCGATTTAATCGTTTGAGCTGGTGATTCCATCTTGCGCTTCTTTCCCACACGGTTGATCTCAATGGTTGGTAAAGCCTGTCCATAACCAGCAATGTTCCCTGCAATGTTACCCATGTGGCTCAGTCTCCGAGCTGTTTCCTGCTCATGTTGCAGTAGCAGGCGCTGTTGCTGCTCCGCGGTGCAGTGGGCTAGTCGTGCATCCTGCTGCATGCGCTGAAAACATGTGTTTAATGGAATACGCTAGACTAAGACTTTAGAGTAAAAAAGGGCATGATACTATGTATGGGAATGTATGAGAAGTTGTGCAATCAACTGAAGATGGCACAAACATTTCCAGGTTTAGACCATGAGGTGACTTTTAGAGGAAACTGAGAAACAACTAAAATACTAAGTTACCAAATTGGTTACTAAGTTACCAACTACTCACCATGAAGAGGGTATTGAGTTGTGTGGGAGGGGTCAGGTTGCTCGTCATGGTCCCTTGTACAGGCGACACTTGCTGAGGTGGCGATACCTGCTGTAAAAGAGAACAACCGTGTCAGAAACATGTTAATAAAAGACAAGCAACTTGCTGCATAAGGTTTTTTAAAGTGTTTAATCCACGATACTTAAAGTGTCATTTAGTTACGAAAACCGCATGAAACCGCATACACCGGGCCGGATTTAAGTTACACACAATTCAATATATATCCCTAAGTTTTAGTGTAGTTATCGTCGGAATAAAAGGCTTGAGCTAAGTATCACGCCGTTTCGAAACCTGTTACACCATTTGTGTAAACGGAACCGTTTTACTGCACTGTACAATTGAATATGCTAACACGTTACAGTTTCGTAATAAAAAACACCCCGACGCAGATAAGGAAAACCGACTATTTTAATTTACTGGAACTGTCCGTCTGTATAATTCAGTGAATATATTATTCATTACCTCATACCATATATTACACGCTACTCCGTATCAATTATGCGGATGTTTAACTATCACTAGTATCCACGCGACTAGCATATCATGAGATCAATATGTGACAATTTAACAGCATCTAACGCTCAGTTATATGGGTCCCAGTAAAGTAGTAACTGAGTTGACATCGTATGCTGCCCAGTTTTAGTTGAGCTACAAAAACATACAGCGTACGGCCAGTTAAAATGCGCTGGATTTCTTTTTTTTTGAGTTTTGAACACATTTTACTCGGTTAATTGTAGGCGTATCATACCCCATGCTGTATAAAGACTAAGAAAGAGAGAGATGCCTTAGAAATTATCCGTGAAAACGATAATGGATATAATATTAGAATTGAGATCCTTAGAACGCCTCGAATATTACAGTATTCATTTTAGAGAAACAACAATTTTATTTGGACATGTAAAAGTTCATTCCGGTTCGAAATAAAGATTTGAGTAGGTCAAGAAAGGAAAATAATTGATCCCAACAGTGATAAGATAATACTGTACAAAGCATTGGAGCGGTTCAAGAAAAACCAAATCAGTAGACAAAGAAAGGATAGCGTTATGTTCAATATGATCGGTGGTGTACTCCTGGAAAGTGACAAGAATTTGGTGATCAGAACCACTTCTTATTTATAATAATAAGTACAAGGCCACACTATCTCCAAGTGAAAACGACGTTTGTTCACAAGCTAATAAACTAGCGAGTTGTGCGGTGCCAGGACGTTCTATCCAAAACATGTTATTCAAAAGAGCAAGTTCTTTTGTGGAAAAATGTCTGTTAATTAACGCAACCTTTGAAATAAAAACATAAATCATTCATCTGAATGCCGACTAAATTAGCATATTCAGTCTTTATAAGAGTACGTGTTGGCTTAAAGTTAGCACAGTATTCCACGGGGTAGGTTTAAGTGAGACATGATGGCGCCACAACAATATTTAGTCCAGTCAGTCAGGCGCAGCTAACAGTTTTACAGTACTTAAGTAGCTTGGTTAATTATTCAGTTACTAAGCTGTAAAACCTGGTGAGTGGTGAATAATGAATTATCGAACTATTACTTAGTTACAGATATTAAACTTAGTTACAGATACAAAACTATTACTTAGTTACAGATATTAAACTTAGTTACAGATACAAAACTATTACTTTCTTACAGATATGGATGTTTGGTTATAAATCTGATAATTACGGTATCAGCCTGGTTAGTGGTTACTTAATTGTAGTTACTAAGCTACCAATCTCGTTACTAAGTTACCAACTTGGTAGACGGGTGATAGCTTAGAACAGTGACCAAGCTGAATAAACTGATGTAATACTGTTGTGCTCGGTATTTACTGATCTGGTTACTAAGTTACCAACTCAGTTACTAAGTTACCAACCTGGTTGACGGGTGACAGGTTAGAAGGGTGACCAAGCTGGGTACCCTGATGTAATACTGTTGTGCTCGGTATTTGCGAGTTTTCTGCACTCTGCATACACTGGTTGTAGCTTAGTGCATCGGCCGCTATCTGCTCGGGGCTGTAATATCCTGAAAAATATTATCAGTTAATTTCAGCGTCAGTTTTCTCTGGCCTGGCATTAGATACTCAACACACAAACATATTAGTGGGAGTTTTGGGCGTCTTAAAGCCCTATTTTCATGACATAACGTTTACGACAAAGACGGAACTGGAACACTCTAGAACTACTGGTCGTAGAGGACAACTAGTGATCAGTTAGAGACAAATACGTGCCGATCTAGGAAAAAAAGAAGAGTTGCGACTTACTGTTTACTAGTTCAGGTCTAAGTTATAGCCCCAGGGTTAACTCCGAAGAAATCATACAATCCTATCCTTTGTGGGATGACAGGTTTTGGACCAGAAGAAACATAACGGTTACAACTTTACAAATTACAAAAAGAAGCCGATATTAGCGGCTTGACGGACGATATTCTGAAATCTAACCCCAAGCCGTTACCTTTTCCCGTAATCGGTGAGTAATGCTGTGCTGTACTCCAATATACCCCCGTGTATACAATTGCCTAGTGGTGAGTTCTAGTTGCCCTACAGAAGTTTCAAACTGCCTGTCAGAGCGTACCGTAACCTACTCCTGACTAACGTACCACTCACCGCATGACAGAGGAAATCAAAGGAAGTGCCCTACCCGATGTTTGAACCTGGGACCCAGTGACCGGCGTGCCTGGAACTCCGCAACCGCGCACAGGCTGGAAGTCTAAGCGTAGTGCCGACGTTAATGTTTTACACTACAAGGCAAGAAACTGTCTTACAGTTGGTTCCAACAGGTTGGCTGGAGTTGGAAGGCTAGATTTTCCTGGTTTTGACGTAGACTACAACCACAGAGTGTCTCCTCAATATAATTGGATTCAACAGCTGCAGATTATTGCGCGCCTAGCACCACACCGCCCAGAGGTTTGATAGCTCAACATGTCGTTGATTGTTCAGAAAGTCGGAACATTGGCAGATCTCTTCCCGTGCCAGTGCCCTCGAATCATACGCGGATTTACTTAGCTCTACCCAACACTCTCCATGCCGGACTAAAAATGTGGGCTATATCGGCACATGCGCAACTCCAACCATCCCCGTTACGTACCAGGTATCTTACGCTACTCTTGCACCAACACAAAGCGGATATGTTGGTGGTCCAGTATGTCCTATAACCAATCCTCTCCTGATCAGCAGCCACATACTCACTGATAAGAAACCTTACAACATCCCTAATTTCATATATTTTACTTTTTACCACTGACTTTTACAGCAATTCTGTACCTGGTGGAGTTCGGTATTTTAATGAGAAATGGCCGAGTTCGCGGCTCTGACTTTGCCTAATCAGCCCATGGTGTGTAACGTGGTGGGACGCAGCCAAAGAGAAAAGTGTATAATTATAAGCGACTCAGCAAGCGGGTGTTACGAATTAAACCAATCTCTTGAAACAGGGGCAAAGCAGAAAATATATAACAGAATTGATGAACACGTGTGATAAAATTACAGATATGATTATCGTTAATTCGCGGGTAAGGGGGGCTGTGTGGGGTGTAGGGAGGGAGAGAGGGAGGGAGGGTGGGTGGTACGACGTGGTAATCGACCTGAGCGCCTTGCACGGCCAGGGGGACCGAGTTTTAACTTGGGGGTAGGAAGTGAAAATGGGGTGGAGTAACGCTGAACAAGGTCTGATACACACTGGTGTGACACACTGTAGCAGCATTCTTACACACCTTATCAAGTCTCTATAAGTCTCAATTTGAGTGCCCTCTCAGCACACCATATTTGTGAGAAATTTTAGGGGCAATGTTCTGAACGCGGCAAGGTTGAGTAACGTTAAAATGTTGAGTAGGTGTATGTGTAGGTATGTTATTATACGTTAGTGATACGAGGCAACACCAGCAACAATGCTGATCATGATCAACTACGTCAGAATATATTGTAGTGACTAACGCAATGTTGGAATAATCATAACTGATTTAATATTAAAGTAAAGTAAAGATATGTAAAATTATTACCGTTTTGTTGGTCAGGTGAATAAGCTGAATCAGATCCAGGGGGTGTTGGCAGCTGACTGAAACAATATCTCGTTTACTCATCTTTCTAAAGAACAATAATTCCAATGGAAAAAATGTCCATGTTAAGATTAGCCAATAGGAAGGAAGAATTTTTTTCAGGGTTTTCCCTCAACTTATTTCCACCAGCAGCCTCTTGGAGGACAATCTTAATTGTACCGATGACATGGTAGCTTTACTTACCCCTTACTTAACATTTACTTAACCTTTACTTTATTTATGTAATCACCTTTTCTAAACATTTTTCCTACGACATATTTTTGATAACTCTACTCTGGCTAATAATTGAAATAAAGAAAAAGTAACGTAGAACCCACCTTTGAAGGGTATTAAAGTTGTTGTAGGGTGTAGCAGTGTAGCCTAAAATGGAAGAAAAGATTAGCAAACCTCGTCACAAAATACATATCAAAATAACAACAATCAAACATGAACAAAATTACAACCGCGAGTAAGTAACCAACGGGATCAGATAATGAAAAACGACAAAAAGCAATTGATATTGATGATTGTGAAGATGAGGATGAGCCAGCAAACAATCAGCCAAACCAGACAAGCGGTGCAGACATCCAGACTACAGCGATGAGATAAAGTAATTGTGTACGCGTGACAAAGAGTGCAGGAGAGTGAGTAAGTAACAGTGTTAGTATACTACAGGAGAGAGAGAGAGAGGTCGGGGTATTGGAGACACCATGTACTGAATGGTAGGAAACATGGCAGGAAGGAAGGAAGGTTAATTGACACACAATACAAGGTTACCAAATTGGAGTACAATGAGATGGTTTGTTGATAAAGTGGTCATTTGTGTGTGTCACTGTGTTGGATATGTGGAACAAACCCGACCAAACAGCCCTGAATATCAGGGACACATCATCTATAAGCTACGGGACACAACAAGGGCGCCAAAACGGCGCGGGACACAGTAAACGTGGACACAAAATGAGGATAAATCTGGTGCTACACCCAGTTTGAGAAGTGACTGAAGGGCGTGATATCACCAGTACACTACATACAGGTTCTTTTAGAACTGATAAAAAACTGAGAAGCATCAACGACTCAACACTCAAAGCAATAGTTTCTTTCTCTCTCTCATCTATTTAGTTGTTATAATTTAGTAGTATGGTATTGTAAGTTACCGCATACATCAGCAGCAAGTAACTTAGCGTCCAGCCTAAACTGCTCAAAGTCAAATTTAGAGGCAGGATTTATTCACATTCCATTTCCCACATTTTAATTCCACCACCGTGACGATTACTCCACGTGGATATATAATATTACATATCATAATATATACCACTATTATAAGCGTCTCTCTATATTATATATATCTCAGTTGATTAACAATATACTGTCGTTACAACGACGTTCTCGGATTGCCTAGCAGACTATTTCATTTCTATTTCCGATACATCTAGTCAGATCTAGAGCGGCTGGTCACATGACGTGGGGTGAAGTGTTGGAGGTCTGGAGTGTGGAGAGTAGCCCCTAGTTAAGGACGCAACGTCTAGTAGACTAGAGTTTCAGTAAGCCAGACATCACGTGCTCGTGTATTGCCATATGAAGACGATGTAACTCACTATATGGTCCTACCATTGGATACTATCCAAAATATTTAGAGGAAACCGAAATAGACGACCTCGAGAGAAATAGACAGTAGAAATAGACAAATGCAAACAGACTGGTCAGAAATAGGACAACCCGTGCTCTATGGAATATTATTTCGAATGATAATTGCGAGAATTTAACCAGCGAGGGAGAAAGGCCCACGTGCCCCACAAAACCGGCGAATGAGAGCGCGCAGAGTATATCAGGCGCACCGCCTCCAGCCAGTCACAGGGGGGAGCTCGTGTCACGTGATATCACATGAGCAGTTGTGAGATAGCGGCCTGCCTTTCCTCAACCAATAGGAGGGAGAGGAGGGTAGCCAGGCACGGAACACTCAGCCGAGCTCCTGAAGACAACTCTACCCCTGCATAGCCTGGTGCAGGGATTAACCACGTGACATGAACTCCTCGCACGTGCTCCAGCGTAAATGTCATGTGGTAGCACGTGTCACATCATGGGATATACACGTCTAGCCCAGAGATATACGCAAACATATGCAGCTTGTCCAAGCACGTGGATAATTTTCCCATTATAATAGAACATTCAGTATCTCAAAACGGATGCGGCAACCTATTATTAATTACATTTATTCGAAAACAATACACCTGGTATCAAGGGATGATGGCGTAGAGCGCGCGGCGAGCAGCGCCGCCGCGTCCCCCACACTGCAGGTGTCACTGGACACTGGTCACCTCCAGAGTTAGTGGAGGATCATTAGCTACTAACGTAAAGATAACAGTCCTGACTGAGAGCGAGGATGTGTGGCAGGAGCTGAAGTGAAGCCAGGTAGTACCCTGCCGTTAACACGTCCTGTTCTGGAGGACTGGGCATGACACTACCACGGAACCCACCCCACTCCGTGACTGGTACCCGGCCTTCTTCGCAGTTGCAGTTAGCCTGGCAACAGCTCGCAACTTCCCATTATATTTACTACGGATACAAGTTGTTAGTCGCCCCGCGTTTCTTATCACGTGGTCAGATCGCACTCAGTTCCGGTCCTCAGGAACGTCAGGTTATACATGTTACGGTTTCTAATTTTGTACTGTGTGGTTCTGAACTGGTGTTCTCCAGCCATTATGTACTGATATGATAACGATTCTGTAATTGATCGGTAATCATAGTGATGTCATCCGTTACCCTTGCCAACAAAAACATAATGAAAGAATGATGACCAGTGCTGTTTTGATTATGGGAAGATGAATCCGTAAAAAAGATGGTATTGGCTGCCATTTAACAAGACCACCGTGATTCACGGAGCCTTGCAAATGATAGATTGGGTGGATTCAACAGAAAATAAGTAAATTCAACTGGTAAGTAGCTTCAAGAAGACAAAATAGGTTTTTATTGAAACAGAGTTTAAAAACCACACCCTAAGAGGGAAATTCTCATAAATAATAAGAATAAGAAGAAGAAGAATAAAAAGAATAAACATATTTGTGTTCAGAAAAGAGACTCTAAAACTTTGCTAATGCCACTCTGTAACATGCAGTAAATGGTCGGCATATGGTTGAGATAAAAGGCTACACGGCCGGTCAAACCCCCTCTCGGAACGGTCGGTAACACCTAACAGGCCGTACACTCACTCAGTATGTGTCGAACAGTTGTCAGTTCAACCGTAAAGCCACGATGAACTGACAACTACCCGATTTTAACTGTCCTGTCACGTGACCAAGGCTAAACCCATGCCATCTCCGGTGATAGCATGCCCTATCAACAAGCTACCGTTTACAATATACCGGCAGTTAAAACGGGGACAGGGAAAGTTTTAAAAGGGACCGTAACCATAGTGACCATGATAACGTTGAGTTGGAACTATTTGATGCGTCAGTTTGTTTGTTTCTGTCGGACGCAAGGTTCTGCTTCGACGATCCGTCTGCATCGATATGACGTGTAGATGGATTTTTATGGAGCATAGCTGTGCTCATCAACAGTTTTTAGCAAAAAATACCGGTGGCTATTTATACCACTGATCGCTATTCGAATGGAATTTACCAGATACTATCAGTTAACAATTAATGATGATATCAGTTACCAGATGATGCTATCAGAAACTAAGACCAAACCAGAACAACAGCTCTACCATACTATATAGGCCATTCATTTCCTCAGAACAACATGGCGTGTTTTAGATGTGGAGAGATTCGTGTCACAATAGCATCGTAAGTGATATCCCATTGTGTGTAATTGTGTAATGGTTACTTCATTTTAGTGTGTTGCATTCTGTAAACGTTCAATGAGTTAATATTTTTACTAAAATTTTCACAAGTCTGTTCAATGTTGCAAACCTTATTCAATGACTGTTCCGGAGTTTTCCGGAGTGAGGTCAATACCTTTTTTGGGAACACAAGAGAAGGGTTTCACGACTCCTGTCCGACAGCGACTCTTGTCCGACAGCACTTTTTTGTGTTTGAAGTGATATCTCAAATTAGGCACATAGAAATTCGCCCAAACTTACACAGATTAACCGTCCTATAACCATCATACTTTAAGGAAAGTTTCAAGAAAATCGTATGGTAGGATCCGACATAAACTATTGTCCGAAAAACCTAACTTTGAAGTCGGACAGGAGTCGCTGTCGGACAGAAGTCGCCCAATCCAAGAGAAGTTCGCAGAACTTAACATTTTCTGCAGAATCAAGAGTAACATCACGTGACCCACAGTTGTATAGAATTAGAGGAACTGGAAACAATTTCTTCAGAACCACAGTACACTAATCACTGGCTTGGTAACCGGGTCACATGTGGAGCGTAGAGACAAGGTGATGCTCTGAAGACAAGAGACACCAACCCTGTAATTGCCAGATCTACAAACACAAATTATATCTAGACTTGTTAACCCAGCTTCCAATTCTATCGTGAACCATGTATCGCCTTGTACATAGTTGAAAAAAGGAAGACTAGCCCAGCTCACAGGTTACTAGCAGATATAATAGAGACACACGGGATAGGATCAGAACAATCTGGTGCGTTGTAATCATCATTACTGTGACGGTATGATCGAACAAGCTAGAGACATGCCATGAAGAAGCGACCGGGTTCAGTTGTTTAGTTCGTTCAGACCGGTAGTTTTGTTGTACAAGATATTTAGCAGCACGTACAATATTCTCTCCTGGTTTAGAGTGCACATTTAGTTTGGTGTACAGAGATATCTAGTTGTTCTCTGTGTTGTTGTCGACAGGTTGTCAAGACGAAGAAGGTAAATAATATACGTTCACATTTCACAAGGGTCCAGCAATACAACTTATACTATACCACATTCTGTATTCAGATATTCTCAGACTGTATAGTGTACTCATACTATATAGTGTACGAGTAGAAGTACAATGGCGGGTGTGTCATGTGTTCGCACTGCTGAGAATCGTGTATATCTAAGTCTAGGATACGGTAAGCGCTAATACCCTAGACTAATAGAGTACTCAATAGGACTCTCTGGTATGAACATTCCTCAGGGTATAACTGAATGCAGGCATTTGTAACACTGTGTAAAACCACGTTGTTTATTATGCTTATGATAATAGGGACAACACTACATCTGTTGTTTCATAAATCCAGCATAAAAGATGATGTAGGAACTTAATTCAAAGGAGGAGATTCTGCATGGATCAGCCCCATTTTCATCCCAAATTCCTCAAATTTTACTTCGTTCTGAATTTTGTCGCGTGGAATAGCTGCAGACACTGAATCAGCTGTTTGGGGATGACAATGAAACTTTGCGTTTGAATTTACATCGTTCAGTAATGATAGCATACCCTAAATTCC